CCACTGAGAAAGACATGACGCATAATTGCATATCATCCTTGTTCTTGTCATGCCTTGCCCTTCTTTTTTACTTTCTCCAATGTCTGACTACCAACTCGAAATATATTCAAACTGTGAAGTTGATCAAAAGACCTTCCTTTAAAAGCTTTCTTTTCTTTTTCTTTTTTTGTAGTGACAGATCCATGAAATTATGAATTTACTATTTTATCTGAGAATATATAGAAAAAGCTAGACTGACTAACTTCGAATGTTTGAACATGGGCATGACATTTCTGGAAACCCATTAATTTACTGCACATTCAGAAAAAGGGTGCCCTGAAATATATACAATAATTTTGGTGCACTCAATGAATTGTAAAAAGTTGGGCCCTCAGAACTTCACTAATGGAAGGGGAAAAAGAGTAAATAATTAAAAATATGGACCCTTTTTTCTACTTTGCTTTGCAAAACGAGTGGTTTCATTATTGCCATTTGCTGCACATTCTTAGGCTTCACATTCACACAGTCTGCTACAAATGAATGTGTCTCCATTTTATTATAAAGAGTGAGCCTTTGCTTTTTTGTAGGCCTCAACCTTTAATCCCTAGGAAAGTAGGGGCGTTAATGGGTTGTGTTTAGGTTGAGCAAGCATGTTTGAGAGTATATGTCACATCCTGGTTCAAGCCCCCATTACAATTCGGGCTCGATTCCATCGTAGTACAATATTGTCCGCTTTGGGTCCCGACCACGCTCTCACGGTTTTGTTTCTGGGGAACTCACACGATAACTTTCCAGTGGGTCACTCATCCTGAGAATGTTCTCCCCCGAACTCGCTTACTTCGGAGTTCCTACGGAACCTGAAGCCAGTGAGCTCCCAAAAGGCCTCGTACTAGGTAGAGATGAGAATATAAATATAAGGCTTAGAGAATCCACCCCTGGATGATGTGGGATGTTACAATTCACCCCTCTTAGGGGCCCGACGTCCTCGTTGGCACACATCCGACCAGGATTGGTTTTGATACCAAATTGTCACATCTCGGCCCGGGCCCCCACCACAACCCAGGCTCGACTCCACCGTAGCATAATATTGTCTGACTTTGGGCCCCGACCAAGCCCTCATGGTTTTGTTTCTGGGAACTCACACGAGAACTTCCCAGTGGGTCACCCATCCTGGGAATGCTCTTTCCTGAACTCGCTTAACTTCAGAGTTCCTATGGAACCCGAAGCCAGTGAGTTTCCAAAAGGTCTCGTACTAGGTAGAGATGAGAATATACATATAAGGCTTAGATAATCCACCCCCTAGGCGATGTGGGATGTTACAGTATATAACAAATGTAATGAGTATAATTTAGTAATAAGAAAACATTACAACAATTCATTTCTCCCTCTTTACATTTCTCTGCCATCTCTCTCTAAAACCTTTATCACCATTTCTGCAATATTAGACTTCTGCAACGTAACATGTTGCTTTACATGGTATCATTCGCCGATCGAGCTCTTCTTGCTTGAAAGGTTATCTTGATCTTGGATTTCTTGCTTCTGCCGCCCAAGATCTTTTTCTTTGTTCTTCTGATCTCGGAACTTTAATATTTTTCTGTTTCACGATTGTTCTTCTTTACAATGGTGCACTCTAAGTGTTTGATATATTTCCTGTGTGACTTTTTCTTCAACAAGCTGCAATGGTGACTGCCAACCAACTACAAATTGTGTAATCTCCCATCACTTCTCTTATCTCTACTGTTCCTACGTTGGTGACTGTCAAACTAGATGATTCCAACTACCTCTCCTAGCATTTTCAGATGTAATTGCTACTCGAATGTCATGGAATTATGGGGTTCTTGAATGGTTCTAACCCTTGTCCTACAAGGTTTGTTTCTTCTGGTTTTGGGGATTCTGATGTCAATTATGGGGATTCATCATCAAGAACTAAAACGGATGCATACAAGGTCTAGAAAATGCATGATTGAGCCTTGATGCAGCTCATTATTGTCACACTTTCCCCATCAGGCTGTATCGTGTGTCGTGTCATTAGAAGCACAAGTGCTCGAGATCTATGGATTCGGCTCAAAGAACAATTCTCCATTGTTACTTGTGCAACCATATTCCAGATGAAGTCTGAGTTACAAAATATCAAGAAATGCCCTAATTCAATATCCCAATACTTGCAGAGAATCAAAGAAGCTAGTGATTATTTGGCAACTGCAGGAGTGCATTTTGAAGGTGATGATATTGTCATATTGACTCTTAATGGCTTATCTGGAGAATATAATACCATCCAATCCATAATTCGAGGCAGAGAGAATGCCATCTCTCTCAAAGACTTGAGATCTCAATTGCTTGCTGAAGAAGCGATGGTCGAGAACACTACTGTTACACTATTTCTTTCTGTAATGGTTGCAAAAAATTCTGAATCTGGTTCCAAGAACTCGTCTTTTTCATCTCATGTGTATTCTGGTGATCATAATCAAATGGTTTTTGCAAATTCGAGTCAAGGTATTCGAGCACTTAAGTCTTCTAGTTTCTCTAGTGCAACTACTCAGCCTATCTATTTCAAGAACAACTATAACAAGAACAAGGGCAGAAGTAAATTCAACTATAATGCTAATTCTTGATTTGGGAATTCAAATAACACATACACTACTTCTGGAATTATGGGTGCACCTCCAACACATTCAGCCTGTCAAATATGTGGAAAGTTTGGTCACCTTGCTGATACATGTAGATTCAGAAATATTGATGTCGTGGTAGTTGAAGGATGTCAAATATGTGGCAAGAAGAATCATACTGCTCAGTTTTGCCATTTTTGAAATGCAAATATCTCTGGCACCACCCCTCAAATGACTGCAATGCATGTAAACTCCTCATCATCCACTCTAACATCAAATGCCTTGTCTCAGCAGTTCTGGCTTACAGATTCAGAAGCAACAAATCATCTAACTGCAAACTTGCAGACTCTATCCTTGGACAAAGCCACATGGAGGATTCTATACAAGGCGTAGTGCAGTAATGGGTTATATCCAATTCTAATATCCAGACCAGCTGTAGTTCAAAGTCAATGAGTTAAAGCTACATTCCTTGGACAGCAAGTACATTCCAGTTTCTGGCATAATAGACTAGGTCACCTTTCTAATTCCATTGTCTCCACTATACTTAGAAAGTCTAATATCTCAGTACCTTCTAATGTGTCACCTTCTTTGTGTCATTCATGTTTACAAGGGAAATTCAGCAAGTTACCCTTCTCACCATCTATGTCTAAATTTGTAATTCCTTTTGAAATTGTTCATAGTGATGTGTGAAGCCTTGCTCCATGTACTTCTATTGATGGTTATAAATACTATGTGACATTCATTGATGAATGCACTAGATATTGTTGGCTATTTCCTTTGCATAATAAAAGTGAAGTTTGTTCTGTGGTCATTGGGCAAAATGAGCTCATACTCCAGAGCAAAATGAGCTGGCAGAAAGAAAACATAGGCATATTGTTGAAACCTCAATCACAATATTACAAAATGCATATCTACTTGTATTTTTATGGTATTTTGCTTGTCAAACTATGATATACCTTATCAATAGGATGCTTTCATCAACTCTAAATAATCATTCACCATTTGAGGTTCTATTTCAATCTGTTCCAAATGTTCAACACCTTAGGATTTTTGGTTGGGCATGTTTCCCATTATTAAAGCCTTATACTAGTAACAAGCTAAAACCTAAAACCAAGATATGCATTCTAAGTACAAAGGGTATATTTGTTTTAAAGTTAGCTCAAAGAGATTTTATATTTTGAGACATGTTATATTTGATGAGTGTATCCTTCCCTTTTACAAAAGTCATATGTTCCTTCCTAAAAGCCTATTTCTGAAATTCCAGTGAATTCAATGTGTGTTACAAGTGAAAACATGATTGTTGAAGCACCATCAAATCCATCTGTGTCTAGCCCTAATGTTCCACCTAGCTCTGCTAATGCAAATACTAGGTCTCACAATTCATCTCATGCAACTGATCTATCTCAGCCAACATCAATAGAAGACACAAAACAACCCATTACTGGCATTTCACCTCAGTGTACTTTTACTTCATTCCCTGTGGCTCCTGAGTTTCAAATAGAAAGTTTACAAGTAATTCTTCCTATACCTCCATTGAACTTGCATCATATGCAAAGATGGCCGAATAGTGGAATTGTCAAGAAGAAAGCATTCATTGTCATAACATATGAGAATGTAGAAGTTGATTTGTCTTAGATTGAACCGGTTTCTTATAAGTCTGCTCTTAAATCTCCAGTCTGGTTTAAAGCCATGGAGAAGGAAATATAACCTTACAGTATCAGAAAACGTGGTCCTTGGTTCCTTTACCATCAAACAGAAATCTTGTGGGGGTGCAAATGGGTCTTTAAGATCAAAAGACATGCAGATGAAACCATTTCAAGATACAAGGCTAGGCTTGTGGCAAAGGGGTTTAATCAAGAGGCATGTATGGATTATGGTGAAACATTCAGCCCAGTGGTTAAGCCTACTACAGTGAGACTTATTCTTGCATTAGCTGCACAATTTGGATGGGGTTTAAGACAGCTCGATGTAAAAAATGCATTTCTGCATGGAATATTGCAAGAATAAGTCTACATGGCACAACCTCCTGGTTTTGTGGATTCTATCTATTCCTCCTTAGTTTGTAAACTTCACAAGTCTTTATATGGTCTCAAACAAGCCCCAAGGGCATGGAATGAGAGGTTTGCTAATTTTCTACCTTCTCTAGGATTTCAAACAACCTATGCAAACACATCATTATTTGTCAAACACATTGATTCTGGGGTAGTGATCCTCTTACTATATGTGGATAATATAATCATCACAAGGAGTGCAACAACTATCATTCAAGAGGTAATTTCTGCATTGGCAACATAATTTGATATCAATGATCTAGGACCACTACACTATTTTCTTGGTATTCAGATTACACAGACTGCAGAAGTATTGTTTTTATCTTAGCATAAATATGTCAATGACTTATTGATAAAGACATAAATGCATCAGTCAAAGCTCTGTGCTACTCATTGCTTGCCTCAAAATCGACTTCTTAAGGATGATGGAACACCATTTGGCAATCATGAGTTGTACAGAAGCATAGTGGGAGAATTACAATATCTTACTTTCACAAGACCTGACATTGCATTCTCTGTGCATCAGGTTTGTCAGTTCATGCATTGTCCTATAGAGTCACATTACTTGGCTGTAAAAAGGATATTACGATATCTTAAGGGGACTCAACATTATGGTATTCAATATATGAAAGGAAAGTTGGAGTTAAATGCATTTAGTGATGCTGACTGGGCAGGGGATCCCAATAACAGAAGATCCACAACTAGATTGGTTGCTTTCTTGGGGAACAATCCAATATTGTGGTCATCAAAGAAGCAAAACACAGTATCTCGTTCATCTATTGAAGCTAAGTATAGAGCAATTGCTACAACAACTGCTGAGATCAACTAGATAAAACAGATTCTTGCATTCTTGCATATTGAAGTTCCAACTCCATCGACAATGTTTTGTGATGATCTATCAGATATTGCTCTTACCTGTAATCTAGTGATGCATCAAAGAACCAAACATATCGAGATAGATGTGCATTTTATTCGAGAAAGGGTTGCCAAACAATTACTTCACATGCAGTTTGTATCTTCTAATGAGCAATTTGCTGATATTCTGATAAAGGGGTTGTCTGCACCACTATTCCATGCTCATTGCTGCAATCTCAGGCTTCGTGATCCTTCTCCTAAGCTTGAGGGAGGATGTTAACAATATATAATGGATGGTTAGATAGAGTGTCATGTGTCAATAGATTAGTAGGTTTGTTATAAGGTGGTTAAGGTAGTTATAAGGTGACTTAGTGAGCAAGCATGCTTGAGAGTATATAACAAATGTAATGAGTGTAATTCAGTAATAAGAAAACATTACAACAATTCATCTCTCTCTCTCTCTCTCCCTCTCTTTTTCTCTCTTTCTCTACATTTCTCTGTCATCTCTCTCTAAAACCTTCATCACCATTTATGCAATATTAGATTTCTACAACATAATCTGTTGATTTACAATCGATTTGTATTTGCTTAACCATGTTACTTGTGTACACATCGAGGATCTTATAATCCTACGAGTTAAGTTTCAAATCTTTTAGTATGTCGTTTAACTTGTGAATTATGAATTGTATAACATGTCGCGTTTGAAATTATTACCCTTCGAAAACACATGCGATGGGATTCGGGAAAAGCACGAGGGAGGAAAGCTTGTCTAAAAAGGAGAAAGGAAAGATATGATATTGATTGATAATATAATACTTGCTACTCGCTTAAAGATTAGAGAAATTGTTGAGAAAGATTTGCCAATATCTACAACTAAAAGAAAAATGGTGGATACATAAAGATTAATAGGGGACACACATAATTAACAACCAACAAGGCCATGCATGCATGTTTTTGACCAAAACTCTTCTCATATGTGATGATTTTGCAGCTGCAACAGCCTTGTATAAGCTCCGTCGGGGCGGCTCGCTAGTTCCGAATGGCTGCCGTGCTCAACAATGCGCCCGTCTTGCACCACGCCGATGCTGTCCACCCCTCTAATTGTAGACAAACGGTGGGCAACAAGCACGGTGGTGCGGCCCCTCATTAGTCTCTCGAGTGCTTCTTGCAGCACACATTCTGACTCGGCATCAAGTGCACTTGTAGCCTCATCTAGCAAGAGTATTCTCGGGTCCTTGAGCACCGCCCGTGCGATTGCAATTCTTTGTTTCTGTCCACCGGAGAGCTGAACTCCTCTCTCCCCAACCGGGGTTTTGTATCCATCTGGCAACCCGCTAACAAAACCATGCACGTTGGCAGTACGTGCAGCTTCAATTACTTCTGCTTCGGTCGCGCCTTCTTTGCCGTAGGCAATGTTTTCGAAAATGCTTGATGCAAACAGGGCTGGTTCTTGTTGCACCAATCCAATCTTCAGCCTAAGTGACTTCAAGTTCAGACGGCGAATGTCTTTGCCATCGATCATTACTTTCCCAACTATCGGATCATAAAACCGCTCGATCAAAGCAATCACGGAACTCTTTCCTGAACCACTAACTCCAACAAGTGCTTGGCTTTGGCCAGTGCGGATTCTGAGACTAAAATCTTTGAACACCATGACATCAGGTCGCGATGGGTACGCAAAATCAACATGCCTAAGTTCAATTTCTCCGCGTACTGATTCAACCACCTCAGCCTCAGGATCATCCGGATCAATCCTTGTTTGACGATCGAGGATTGAAAAGACCGAACCAACAGCTTCACCGCCCCTAATAATCTCCGGGGCAAGGCTAACGGTTTCAGCAACTGAATTGGCCGTTACAACGAGGACAACGAAAACCTTAATAACTTTCGAGAAGGTCGAGACACCTTTGCTAACGAGGTGGGCACCATACCACAAAATGAGAGCTTCAGATGCATGGAGAGCAAACTGAGAGAGGCCGAATAGAACGCCAGCGGTTTGGCTGCGGCGGAGGCTTCCCAGCTGTGGGAGACGGAGCTCGTGGCAGAAGAGAGATAGGATCTTGTTTTGGGCATTGAAGGCGGCGACTGTCCGAATGTTGCTCACTCCCTCCCCTGCAATCATGCTCGTCTTTGCATGAGCTTTGGCTGTGTCTCCAGCAAAGCCCTTCAAAGAAAGTTGCTGCATAACGCATAATGCAGAGTTGCAGAATTAAACAGTCAGTAAACTCCATTAAGTAAATGATTAAGCACTAATAAGGTGCGTTAGTTAAGTGTCTGTTCTGTTATCTGTTGGATTGGTGGTTGAGAGTTGTTTCTTGATACAATTCGGTGGTTACCAAATGAAAAGTTAAAACATATGACAACTCCAAAGACACTGTTAAGTTTCTCTCCTCCTACCGGCTCATTACTTGTACAAAAACCTCGAAAACAACAAACAAAGTGAATACACCGCAATGCTACCGTGTCATCTCAGGGGCAAGTAAGTTTCTTCCCTTTAACAGGCTCGTTGCTTATTCAAAGCGGGCCCTCAGAAAACAACAAAACAAAGGACAAGGACATAAATCTATCAGACAATGTACGTTCTTATTTAATCAGACGGGTCATTTTCTCACTGTGCATGCATCATGCGCGAATTTAGAACACTGTTCCCACACAAGACAAAAAAAGAACGAACACAGGCGCCTGTCTCTGTACGACTACAGTTTGAAAGCGAACCCCTAACAGCCACCCCAAAGATTGAAACCCTCCCATGCACTCCAAAACGACAAGATTGGCAAATCAAACTGGGGTGTGCACAATGCGCACCAGGGACAAGTTACCTTCTTCCCTTTCTGCAGAAAAAGCTCTGGAAAAAATAAAAGTACCTATATCTATCATATAATATAAAATGTGCTCACGGGACTGAAATCTCTCTTGTAACTCTCATCACATGGGAGTCTTCACTGAATTATTCTAAGAAAAAAAGGAGAAGTATAAAGTATTGTGACAAATTTTGGGGCCTATAGATTCAGACATATAACAATATATATATGCTGTAAGAAAACAATCCGGATTCTTGAAATTTTATTCAACGATTAAAGTTATTATAATTTTTAAAGCATGTCTGTGTTTATAGCCGTTGAATCATATTTCAAGGGTTCAGATTGTTTGATGAAGAGGATTAGGTGGAAGAGATCCGGAGAGGATCCCCTTCCAAGCTGTAACTCTGTGATGTGCAGCGCCAGCTCATCGGTTACTATTTATAGAAAATAAGAGAACCGAGACATCAAAGTAGCCATGTTATAAAGTTTATCACACAATGTCATGTATTTAAATACATAACATAAAATGATTAGTTTGAAATATCACTATTAATTTAGTAATATGCATAGAAATCGAATATAGATGCTAATTAGCAGCTTGGAAGAAAGGATGCTTCCAAGGAATTGTTGGTATTTTATATTAATTTCTTCACTCTTATATTTTAATTTTCTGTGACCACTTTCCAAGACCTAATGTGCACAAGGCTCGGAAGGAGGCACGTGCAGTGCAGGGGTATGGTGACACGTAGCAGTATTCTGTTGTCGTTTCATGCTAGGATTGGGGTGAAGTTTAAGATTCCATAGACGTGCAAGTTGATGCAATATCTGACACACCGATAAAAATAATATGTAGACCACTCCCATATGCTTCTGCGGGACTTTGGGTCAACCCACCAAAGCAAAAAGTTAGCATTTTTCTCTTTGGGTGCATAAAGCTAGCAATTTTCAGAGCAAATATGTTTTGGTGTTTTAGAAGAAGAAAAAGAAGAAAGTGAAAAAAAAAAAAAAAAAAAGGTTAAAACACATGAAAGAGCGTTATTGATTGAATCGTAATATAGGTACGTATGAAAAGGTTAAAACAAATAACGATGAGCAATTGATTTGTACCACAGACACAATGAAGTTCTAAGTGTAACTTTATTCGAGTCACGAAAGCAAAGTTGGCGAGGCCACTGTGGCAGTACTAAACCAATCACGCATTGTCATTGATAAAGTTAACACACATAACAAACATTGCATGATTGGTTTGTGATACCGTCGCCATGACATTTAGGTTTAGGTAAGTTTCTTTGAGTTAAGTGAGTTGAGAGTGTGAAGTGTACCTGAGCATAGTTGGAAAGCACAAGAAGTGGGAAGGTTGCTAAAATGAGGAGGGAGACTCTCCATTCCACTATGAAGGCAACAATGAATGAAGTGAGGAGTGAAGTCATGTTCTGCAATATCACAGATATCCTCTCAGAAATAGCTGATTTCACATCAGCAGCATCCGTTGCCAATTTAGTTGTTAGAAGGTTGGAGTTGTGCTCCTCCTCATCGAACCATCCAACTTCATTCCTCAAGATTGCTGAAGAAAAACAAGTACATTGCACGAATCAAAAAGACGTAAACTTGAATGAAACAGTTGAATGTGCGGTAAAGAATTCGAAGTGATTTAACGAGGCAGATATAAAGACTAGTTGTTTATACCTGCAAGCATCATCCTTCTCACTCTAGTAGTGAGGTTCTCTCCCATGATGCTGAAGAAGTAATGCTGTATCAAATACGCAACCACAGCGTATAGCCCGACTCCAATGTACATGAAAACGTATTCCTTTGTCTTCCTTTCCATTGAGGCGGGGTTTTTATAGTAGAAAACTTCAATCATGTTGCCCATTAGAATAGCAAATGTTGGACCAATAAACCCTGAAAGTACTGATCCTATAGCGGCCATGATTGAATAGGGCCATTCGGGAGCGTTTAGCTTCAGAAGCCGGAAGAAATAGTTCTTAGGAGCTCGAGTTTTCCTGTCGGTTTCAGCATTTGAAATCATCTCTATCCGCCCATCAGCACCAGTACTGTACGAATAGCTCAGGTTCCTTAAGCTGCCAGACCGAAGGCTTAAAGACTTCGTCGACAATGAGTGGCTTAGACGTGATGAGCGCGAGCAGCGAGTAGATGGGTTCCTGAAGTCTCT